CACATGTAACATTTGCAATCAAGGAAGGTGCTGCAAAGGAAGACATATGTGGGAATGTCTGCTACCACCTTTCATTTCTCCTTCCCCAAGGTAAGGTTTCTATGAGGGGTTTTTTTTGGGGGGGGGTGTTTGTTTGTTTGTTTGTTTGTTTACATTGGGAAAGGGAGAGGAAATGAATGGAAAAGATCAGAGAGGCCTGCTCATTGTGGGCTGTGCTTGCCACAATTCAGCTCTCAAGAACTGATTCAAGAGTGCTTGACTGTTATGAGAACTCCTCAATATGTAGAGGTCTTTACAAGCCAAGTTTATACCTGATGCCCAAACTTTACATCTGATGTCAGAATTGTTGAGAGGGTCACAAATGAAGGAGCTGCTGCAAATATCTTTTTAAAAATAGTATCTGTATTTCTGTATACCATATACTGTTAGAAAAAGGTGTTGCTAGGTTTTCATTTCATAATGTCTGAAGATGAAATGGCATCTGTAAAATAAATAAATTGCTAAGTTGGCAATTGCTCAGATTATTGGCTTTTTTGAGTGGTTTCTAATAGATCAGTACAAACAAAAGAATTAATGAAGGCATTCTACAAGCAGACAATTTTGTGAGGAGAGAAACAGAGTTGCTTTTTTAATCCATAAAAATGCCTCTGTCCTGCAAATCTATCTAAAATGGTTTTGCAGGACTTACTTATTTATTTCTAAGTAGTATTTTGCAGTTCAGTTTGGGGAGTGCGTACTTAGGTTTACGATAAAGTCTGTGAGCATTTTTAGTAATGGGTCCATATATATGTAATCACTTTATTCACACACACACACACACACACACACACACATGATGCTTAATATTTAATTGAGAATAAAAGGGAACTTATTAATAGTTTGTTCTCATTAGTGCTGCTATTCAGTGTCAGTTGTTGGCACATTGTAACTCTCTTTATTATGCTGGACATGAATGTCCCCATTCCATTTTTAATTAGAGAAAATCCTGTTCTGTTTGGACAAGTTTAGAGGCCCTGCTTTCATATAGTGTTTGTTTTTTTTAAAAAGATCGTTTTCAAAATGTAAGGATATTATACAGTGTTTTGTAGAAAGTTCTGTAGCTGTGCATTGGCAAGCTTTTTTCTTTTTCTTTTTTTTTTGGCTTTTAAAATCTCTGCATATTTACTCAGAAGTAAGTCCTACAGATACTTGGAAAAAGTAAGAATAACCACGGTGACCTGCATTTTATCTTTTTCTGCAGGGTTTTTTTATGTGTGTTTTTTAAAGCTGAAATTAGAAACTGCAAATTACATTGCGGGAGGGAGAATCTGTGACTTGCTGTAAATGTACAAGAGTGAATGTGACAAATTTCATTCAGGGTTTCCAGCAGCCCAGACTGTTGTTTTAATATTTCACTTCTACAGCTGTACTGACAGAATGTTGACTACATAAGCAAACTTTGAAATAATTAAAGCTGTTATGTTGACAGCTAAGCAGCCAACGTGATATGTATCCTGTGTCCCTAAAGCTGGTCCTAATATATTTGCGAATATATTATTAAAAATTGGCTTCCAGCATTTTGATACTATGCATTTGTCATAGCTCTCTTGTTCTGTTGCAGAGTCAATGGAACATGGTTTCAAAGAGAGCTGAATCAACACTGTGGCCTGGGTCATGCATCTGGCATCCTTGTGGAATGTATGAGGCTGTTGACAGGCTCATGAGCTGGGGCCCATGTGGAGAGCCATGTGGTTCATGTAAAAAATGAATAATGATGATGCAAACATGCAGATCCAGGGCACCATGCTTCATAAAAACATACTCTTCTAAGTAGCACCTGTATTTTGTGATGTTGTACCAATATCACCACAACCCAGGCAGGCACAGAAAGCCTTCTGAACACTTTTTTTTTTGGCCATTCTGGACTATTTTTTTAAGCACATTGGTTGTGCAATTCTTGTAGGAGGCCACAACATCTTTCCTCAAGACAGTTCTCTTGTACTATAAATATCTTACCTTCTGAGCACACAAACAGCAGTATTCTGTTACTGGTAAAAGGTTCAGTTATTTTCCCCATGGCAGTTCAATCTCTTGTGATCATGGGTACTGTGTGGAAGGAGGTAAGTTAAGGATGTTTGTCAATGAGTGCCCATAACATAACTACAGTAGTGATGAATGACACAACTCCCTCCACCCCCATATCCTTGTTATTTTAGTTGTACATCATCAAGGGATGGGAGTGCTGATTCCATATGAAATACCTACATGGTTATTTAACTGCAACCAGGCCACATAGAAGTCACACACAGATAATTAATAATAATAACAATAATAGTAATAGTAATAGTAATAATTTATTACTTATACCCCACCCATCTGGCTGGGTCTCCCCAGCCACTCTGGGTGGCTTCCAACAGGAGATTAAAAATACATTAAAACAACAGTCATTAAAAAACTTCCCTAAACAGGGCTACCTTCAGTTGTCTTCTAAATGTCAGATAGTTGTTTATTCCTTTGGCATCTGATGGGAGGGCGTTCCACAGGGTGGGAGCCACTACCGAGAAGGCCCTCTGCCTAGTTCTCTGTAACTTTGCTTCTCGCAATGAGGGAACCATCAGAAGGCCCTCGACACTGGACCTCAGTGTCCAGACTGAACGATGGGAGTGGAGATGCTCCTGGTAGACAGCTGCCCTGGACACAGAATTGACCTGCACCTTCATGGACAGCTGTGAGTCCAAAATGACTCCCAGGCTGCACACCTGCTCCTTTAGGGGCACAATTGTCCCATGCAGGACCAGCGAGTCCCCCACCCCCGCCCACCCCCTGTCCCCCCAAAACAGTACTTCTGTCTTGTCAGGATTCAACCTCAATCTGTTAGCCGCCATCCATCCTCCAACCACCTCCAGGCACTCACATAGGACTTTCACCACCTTCATTGGTTCCGATTTGAAAGAGAGGTAGAGCTCTCTTTCTGATTAGAAAGAGAGGTGAAGTGTTTCTTGCCTATGAAAAGTCTATTTTAAAGAGTTATTTCAACAGAGGAAGAAAGCTGGTTGGAGTCTGTTACTTTGTGAGTTTTTTGTGATACATTTGTGATACCACTGTATATAAATACATGTATAAATAAATCATAAATCGCTGTTACATAGTAAGTGTTTGAGGAATTATATCTTTCCTAAGTCTTGTACACAGTGGCTTGATCCACATTTCTTGGACAAATGTATGGGTTGCAAATTAGTTGTCCACTGGATTTTGTAGTTCTTTGAATGCTGTGACAGTTCTTGGCAGTTAATAATAATAATAATAATAATAATAATAATAATAATAATAATAATAATAATAATTTATTATTTATACCCCGCACATCTGGCTGAGTTTCCCCAGCCACTCTGGGCGGCTCCCAATCAGTGTTAAAAACAGTACAGTGTTACATATTAAAAACTTCCCTGAACAGGGCTGCCTTAAGATGTCTTCTGAATGTCAGGTAATTATTTATCTCTTTGACATCTGATGGGAGGGCGTTCCACAGGGCGGGCACCACTACCGAGAAGGCCCTCTGTCTGGTTCCCTGTAGCCTTACTTCTCGCAATGAGGGAACCGCCAGAAGGCCCTTGGCACTGGATTTCAGTGTCCGGGCTGAACGATGGGGGTGGAGACGCTCCTTCAGGTATACAGGACCGAGGCCGTTTAGGGCTTTAAAGGTCAGCACCAACACTTTGAATTGTCCTTGGAAACGTACTGGGAGCCAATGCAGATCTCTCAGAACTGGTATTATGTGGTCCCGGCGGCTACTCCCAGTCACCAGTCTAGCTGCCGCATTCTGGATTAATTGCAGTTTCCGGGTCACCTTCAAAGGTAGCCCCACGTAGAGCGCATTGCAGTAGTCCAAGCGTGAGATAACTAGAGCATGCACCACTCTGGCGAGACAGTTCGCGGGCAGCTAGGGTCTTAGCCTGCGTACCAGGTGGAGCTGGTAGACAGCTGCCCTGGACACAGAGTTAACCTACGCCTCCATGGACAGCTGTGAGTCCAAAATGACTCCCAGGCTGCGCACCTGGTCCTTCAGGGGCACAGTTACCCCATTCAAGACCAGGGAATCCCCCACACCAACCCGCTCCCTGTCCCCCAAAAGCAGTACTTCTGTCTTGTCAGGATTCAACCTCAATCTGTTAGCCGCCATCCATCCTCCAGGCACTCACACAGGACCTTCACCGCCTTCACTGGTTCTGATTTAAAGGAGAGGTAGAGCTGGGTGTCATCTGCATACTGATGAACACCCAGTCCAAACCCCCTGATGATCTCTCCCAGCGGCTTCATATAGATATTAAAAAGCATGGGGGAGAGGACAGAACCCTGAGGCACCCCACAAGTGAGAGCCCAGGGGTCTGAACACTCATCCCCCACCACCACTTTCTGGACACGGCCCAGGAGGAAGGAGCGGAACCACTGTATGACAGTGCCCCCAGCTCCCAGCCCCTCTAGACGGTCCAGAAGGATGTTATGGTCGATGGTGTCAAAGGCCGCTGAGAGATTCAGCAGAACTAGGAAAATAAGCATATAAATATGTAATTGGAGAGAAAAAAACATATATTTAAGTAAGTACATATTTATTTTGTGTTACATATGTATATATATTTTTAAAATCAGAAAGCAAATACTTATGGGTAAAACCATGCGAAATGAAAACACATATATTGTCCATTCCTAAACTGTCTACACAGTTGAGTTTCCTGGCAGAAGGAGAGGATGTAAGGCCACTTTTTCCCAAATTCTCTGGGTTAGCTTTCTTCTTAAGGTTCCTTGAGCAGTCAACTCCACCCCCGTGTAAAATTACCATTCCCCAATCATCTCTCCTGTTTTATCTGAGAGTAAAATACTCTACTACAGTTCTTATTTTTGCAAAGAAATGGTTGCCATGGGGAAATAGTCAAGGTGCTCTCCTGATCCTTTATTGTATATCACATGAATAGCTTAATACAGTAGAAAGTGACTAATCCTAGTCAATTTTCTTCTACGCCTAGTGCAGAAGAGCTGGAATACAGTCTGTGATCTTAACAGTTGCATGTTGGAACTTCTCCTGGATAGCATACTGCAGTTTGCATTGAAGGTGAGGGATTACCTGTTTGATTGCATGTGCAAAATATAAGCTGCCTGTTCATACAAAACAGCATGTTAGAGAAGGATTCTCATTTGGGGTATGAAGGAAGAATTTTAATTGGGAGGAAAAGAAAATTTCTAAGCTGACATGGGGTCAATGTCGTAAGCGAGCTTGTTTCTATTGTATACAGGACTTTTCAAGTGGCATTTGTCTTGAATTGTGATGAAGCAGACTCTGCAGCACAATTTAGACACAATAGGGCTAGCACTTAAAATGCTTTAATTTCAAAGAATAAAAAAACGTGAAAGTTTACATATCTTTGGCAAACAGATCTTTGGCAAACACATGTCTATGCCCCCAATACAGACAAAGTTAGTTGTGCTTAAGTCTGAAATGAGTGATGTTTGCCTTTAGGTAAAGGTAAAGGGACCCCTGACCATTAAGTCCAGTTGTGACCGACTCTGGGGTTACGGCGCTCATCTCGCTTTATTGGCTGAGGGAGTTTCCGGGTACAGCTTCTGGGTCATGTGGCCAGCATGACTAAGCCGCTTCTGGTGAACCAGAGCAGCGCACGGAAACGCCATTTACCTTCCCACCAGAGCGGTACCTATATATCAACTTGCACTTTGAGGTGCTTTCGAACTGCTAGGTTGGCAGGAGCAGGGACCAAGCAACGGGAGCTCACCCCGTCACGGGGATTCGAACCGCCGACCTTCTGATTGGCAAGTCCTAGGCTCTGTGGTTTAACCCACAGCGCCACCCGCGTCCCGTGGATGTTTGCCTTTACCCTCTCTTAATTGAGCCATGCCTTTTTAGATATGTTCTAGAGCAAGTGAGTATCGCCCCACCTTAAATCACAGTCCCATAGTGTCTGGACTGAAGTAAGTCCCATTGAATTCAGTGGATATAGGACTGAAGCCCTCATCAGTTTGTTTTAGCTTTGTGACATTTTAACTGTCCATCATAGAATGTTCCATATTGCACCAAAGGCTGGAAGCACAAAATCTCATATTGGTCTTGCAGAAGCTACTAAGGCATCACTTGAAATTATCATGATGGATCCGTATGAATTTCTTTCTTGGTTAATATTGCTCAAGATGCCATTACCGTTTGGTGAGCTTTTCTTGTCTCTGTGATGAGAAAAATAAACTTGACGGATGATCCAGCATTTGAAATGCACAAGATTGAATTCTTACTTCAGCGTGGATGAACATAAGGTCACAGGCATGCTTTTTGTCATTGACAACACAGGAAGAAAATCTGAAAGCTCTCCAAACAGAATTTTGTGGCTCTTAAAATTGCAGTGATAATTCTTTTAGACTAAAATATTCCTGATGGTTACATACAAAATGGACATATAAATGAAAAATGTTGAATATAACCAGGATATAATAGCAGTATGCATCTATGGGAATTGTTATCTTTTCTATATTCAAAGTTTATACACTTAACAAGCGATTAAAGTTTTAAATTAGAACCAGCTATTAACAGTGACTGCATTTTTACATGTTCTACATTTGTTTTGACAAGGGGTTGTTGCATAACTGTGATAGGATAGTCCATGTAAAAGGAATGAAACTCGGGGATTAAGAAAGAGTTCTTATTTTTGCATTCCCCATCCCACCCTGCAAGATAGATGAGTTCCCCAAATATATGCTGCATGTACTGTTGCTGCCAATATCTTATGGTTGATGAATTTTAGTTAGGTACCTAGCTTGCCTTTTTAGTCAAACCATACACCTACACCAATCCTGCAGTCCTGCAAAGCTTCTGTTAAAACTGTTCTATGCAGCTGAACAGAAAGCATTCACCTCCTTGACTTGTTTGATGGAAGAGAGGCAGGGCCCATCTAAGACATTCTGCTAAAAACTTGCAAAACATTCTGAAGGAAAGGACAAAAGATGTCTGCTGCTCCATTTGCCACATACAGAAGCTGACTGGAATGGCTGTGAACTTTACTTCACAGCTGGTGATGGGAGAGCAACCATTATTGCACCTGAGTCATGCAGGCCACAACACACATGTAAAGCACATGTTTCCCTCCTATCAAAGAATCTCGGGAATTGTAGTTTTCCCCTTGTAGAGCTACAATTCCCAGCGACCTTTAACAAAATGCAGTCCCCAAGGTTCATTGTGAGAAGCAGTGTGGTTCAAATATGCTTAAAATGTGGGGCTTTTTTCCCAGCCAGAACTTGCCGGAACTCTGTTTCGGCGCCTCTCATGTGGCTGCCATTGCCTGTATAAGGGAACAAGGGAGGCGTTCATGGTGAGTTCCGGTACCTCTTTTTCTAGAAAAATAAGGTAAAGGGATCCCTGACCATTAGGTCCAGTCGTGGCCGACTCTGGGGTTGCGGCGCTCATCTCGCTTTATTGGCCGAGGGAGCCGGCGTACAGCTTCCAGATCATGTGGCAAGAATGACTAAGCCGCTTCTGGCGAACCAGAGCAGCGCATGGAAACACCGTTTACCTTCCCGCCGGAGCGGTACCTATTTATCTACTTGCACTTTGACATGCTTTTGAACTGCTAGGTTGGCAGGAGCAGGGACCGAGGAACAGGAGCTCACCCCGTTGCGGGGATTCGAACTGCCGACCTTCTGATCGGCAAGTCCTAGGCTCTGTGGTTTAACCCACAGCGCCACCCTGCGTCCCTTTCTAGAAAAATAGCACTGTTTAAATGTATGGAGTGAGTATTAGAGGCAGGTTATGTGGCACACACATCTCCAAGAGAGGAAAACAACTGGGGGATTCAGAAAGAACAGCTGGGTGTTCCTCTGCTGTCCTCTTCCCTCCCAGAGCCCACTAGCTGAGGCAGATGCCCCACTCTGCCAGACTGGCCCTGAGAAAACAGTGACCGTGTAGAATTAAGAAAGGATATATCTGGGTAACTTTGAGGTATTAGTCATTGCATCTAGTAGGTCCTGACCTAGTGACTGTGGCTGTAATCTTCAGATATATGTGCCAATGGAACAGTACACCATCTCTCTTGCATATGCTGTTCTGTAACTGCTGTCATGGTGGGCTTGCAGCAAAAGTGAAAGCAAATTAACTGTAATTCAAATGATCACACAAGAAGTAAAAACAGTTGTGTGTGGTGGTGTTTTTTAGAACAAGCCCATAGCCCAGGGGAAACAAATATACGGTAATGCAGGAACAGGTTAAAAGACTCAAGCTGGTGGTGGGGAGATATTTGCCTGGAGTTGAAATGGCATCACACTAGGCTCCAGATAAGTCTCCCTGAGGAGGGCATTTTGTAGCCACCATTCAAAGGGCTGCCTCCCTAGTTGCCATTTCTCACACTTCACCTGGCAGGGGCACTCTTGGAATTCCCTCTTGCTTGCTTTGAAAAGCAAGGTCTCTGGTTTTGTCCCAGATTTTGTATCTGCACCAGTCCTAAATATGGTTAATGCTAACCATCTTAACTAGGCATAGGCAGACTCGGCCCTCCAGCTGTTTTGGGACTACAACTCCCATCATCCCTAGCTAACAGGACCAGTGGTCAAGGATGATGGGAATTGTAGTCCCAAAACAGCTGGAGGGCTGAGTTTGCCTATGCCTGACCTTAACCATGGTTTGCACACCTTGATGACTGTTAAAAATTGTTAGTTTTGATGCAGATGTAATGTGAGAATCCAGGGGTAGTCAACACATGGTATCCTCCAAATGCTCACAGAATCACAGACTGTAGAGTTGGAAGGGACGACAAGAGTCATCTTGTCCAACCCTCTGCAATGCAGGAATCTTTCACCCTATGTGGGGCTTAAACCCAGAACCCTGAGATTAAGAGTCTCATGATCTACAGTTCCTGTCATCCCCAGGATGTAAAACCAGGGATTGTGGATGCTGCAATTCACACCATCTGCAGGGTATCACATTTGTTATCTTTGTGCAAGACTAGGAGATTGTGCACTATTTATCATGGTGGCAGCGTATTGTACGGTATGGAATGAGTCACATCCATGTTATTCAGAATGCCATTTCATGGACACATTATAGATATACTCTTCGAATTTCTGGAAACTGATTGTCATATAAGTGACTCATGGCACTTATAAGAGATGGATTTGATTACAAAGAACACTGATTCTTTCTATATGCCCAAGTGAACTTTGGACTTGTGTTTTCAAAGAGCAATCCCCCATGTTGCATGAAAAACTTTGATTGACACTAATGAAGTTTTCAAAAGCAATTTTAGTTATAGCCTAGGAGCCTGCTGTTCCAAAAGAAGAGAAAATCAGAAATTATGCTTGGCACATTCAAACACATCTCTTGGATCCTGGCCATTGCGTATTATCAGAACTGTAGCAGAATTTTATTTAGCTAGTTTAATACTTACAGCATAATAACCTGCAAGATTCCTTTAGAAATGGAAAGCATTGTAAAACTATAGTATTGCATAAACCCCAGTTTCCTACTGAAATCATTGTAAAAATATTTTTATGCCATTATTTAACTTCTGAATAACTTTTTTCCTGTATTTATAGTTCAGCTGCATATGTAATGAAGTTTGAAGTAATATAAGCTGTTAAATATTTTCATGAGGAGTGCAGTGTTTATTGCTTATTAGATTAATGTCAACTAGGGTTGGGCTGTAATCCATGAATAAAATCTACAACTTCCAGAAAAATATATATCTACTTTGTTTCTTAGGGAGTGAAGCTGAACTGTTTCATAAGATCTATATAAATTTTGAAGGAGCTAATGCAGTCATTTATTTTTTGACAATTAAAAAAGGGCATGTCTTTAATCAAGCAAAACTATAAATTGAAGCCTGGCAATTTTTGTTTGGAACCTGAGTGGAGTTTTTGTTTCTTAGCCACAAGTAATTATAATTTTCAGGGTTGAAGTTTGGACATATACTTTTTTCTTATAGAATACTTTAAACACATCAACATAATTTTGCCTTGAATTAAATTAAGTAGTCTAAAATCCCATGTCTGCAATGAAAGAGCATGTGCTACAATTCCCTTCCTGAATTCAAATGGTGTTAAATATGCTTGCATTTGGTTGGA